GAAAAACAATCATTGTGCAGAAAATGTGAGCAATTTTGTATGCCTTGCTATTTTGGTAAACTCAGCCGTCTCCAAAACCTGGGTATACCAGTGTGTAGAACAAATTCTCCTCTATCTTCTCTAATATTCCACTTATCTGAAAAATTTCAAAAATTAAGCTTTTAGTGACGAAAATATTAATTACTTTCGATTATTTTCTGCCGTTTACAGCTGATGACACATGGGTTTCTAGCTGTGGCGAAATCCTTCTCAATCCTTCCAAGGTATTGAAATAATACCCTATAATGTACTATAAGCAATGGGGGGTATCAATAAGATTTCGAGAAAAATTCCAATTGAAAAGCCTCCAAATAACAGACACTTGAAAAAGAAACATAGCAAATGTCTCGAAAATCAGCTATATGATTGCGACCAGCAAAAAAATACGAAAATTAAAGCATTGGTATTCACGGACGATAGCATTCTCTGCATTATCATATTACATTAGAGTAATCAACAGCTTGATCTCTATAAACACTGCAATTTTCACGCAAATTGGCGATACTTCATATAAATGTTGTAAAAAACTAGTATAAACATACCACTATTGTGATCCCAATTAGTCAAATTATCGTGTAACGGTTGACGATGGTTATGCTCTATTGCATGCGCTCTATCCTCTCTGTCTGTGACTTTTGACTGGATGCTACCATTATCTGTACTTCTTGCCTTTCGCTCTTATGAGTGACCGCACGTTCTAAACTGAACACTATATAATAACTATACAAGAGAATAAACAGGACCCGTAAAGATGCTTCCGAACCAAATCAACATCGTGCCAAATGGCACAGACACCAATAAGCCTTTATTTCCGTCACAACTGAGATTTCAGAGCACCGATAAATGAGAAAGGTATACGATTTTGTAGAAGTCGAGTTTCTCTCTTGATATGAAGATAGAGAACCATTACAAGAATAACTGAAAGAGGAAACTAAAACCACAAAGGTCAAAATAATGAATTTGTTCCAATTGAAAAGAAAGTGCATTGCTTGAATGAGTTCTTTTTTTATTCTCAAACAAGAAAGAAAACTTCGAATGGAAGATATGAATTCAAGCAGGCTTATTCTTTAAGAAGTATCATCAGTAAGGAATATATGTTTGCCATGATGGCTGTTTTTGACAGGGAGACCAAAACATCTCGAATAAAAGCTTGCACTTGGTATATTTTTACTATGGGAATAACAAAAGAAATGAAGTACTATGACAGTTGACTACGGTCACAAAAGAATATGTATTGTTTTACATATTCTTGTTTAGAAAAAATGTCATGTGGCTCAGTTTTAGATAAGAACTTAGCAGTATTTAGTATTATGGGTCCACGGCCAAGTCGTGTTCTCACTTCGTCGTCGACAGGCATTGCTGATTGGGAGGTGGTCGATGATGAAGTGATGATACGAGCACGAAATTACAGGATCAGTCTTCAACGAACATGGCAACAAAACACTTTTCATAGCATCGTCTGGGACATTGAAAGGTTTTATTTAAAGTTGGACTTGAAAAGATTAATTCCATCTTCCGAAAATTATAATAGAATTGAAGGATACTTCAAAGAAGCGTATGAAACTAACAAAATCGAGCCAGTAATCAAGGCATATACATCAAATACAGGACTGTACGCTTGGATTAATCATGATCTGGCTAATTTGGTAAGCACTAACGATTTGCAGGACATTTGGATAAGTCCAAACGCTCCTCAAGATAGACGCTATTGGGAAGGTGCTCTGGATATCGCCTGCATCATAGTCAATCATCCAGAACTTAAGCCCTTTGAAGTAAATCAAGAGATAAATGTATTTCGTGGCATGACTGTACCAGAGAAGGTATTAGAAAAGTTTACCGTCAGTACTCGTCTGATGAACAAGACTTTTCTGTCAACTTCCACGAATCCAGAAGTAGCCCAACGCTTTTCGCATACAGATCACAATGTGATCGGTTGTCTGTGTACTTACACTCTTGTACCAAGCAATCGACGAACTGCTTTGAATATTCAAGACGTCTCCACATTCTCTGACGAAGCTGAAGTTCTTATTTTACCATATACTATCTTTGAGGTTCAAAGCAAGAACATCAACCACGATAACACGAGCATGATGCGGTACCTAATTCAATTACGCCAGTGTCATGATACTGGTTGATGCTGATAAAATGACTTTTATCAATGCCATAGGTCAAGGCACTCTGTTTTGTTTGAATAACTTTCGGTAGGAACAAGATAAATAGGTGGTGTTGTCAAAATTCGATATAGGACAGAGAGGAGCATGCAGCTATCTCGATTATCATTGATTCTGAAATCTACCAATTCAGTCGATTTCACTATAAAGCTTTAAGCACGAAATTCCAAAAAACATTTCTATTACATTTTCACCTCTAATACCAACATTCTATACAAATAATTATTCTCTTTCAATCTACGCAACACCCACATGACTAACATGTTTCGGTCAGGAAATATGAGTTTTTCAGAAACCCTAGAATGCAGTGCGGACATTTGAATTTTGGTGTAGGTGTGGGCTAAAGGAATACACGCTCCGGCAGCCACACGCACATCCACACTCTATTTGGGATCCTCGTACTTAAGAGAGAGTCCGTGAGAGGGCAACTCAACTCTCCATATAGGTCGCTGGAGAAAAAAAAAATTTTTCGATTTAATTATCTCAAACGAAAGGCATAGTTAAGCCATACTTAAATCCAACATATTAGACCCGTTGGTTTTACCTAGGAAAAATGCGAGCTAAAACAAATTTAGAGGGTCTATTTTGACCCTAAAAAACAGCTAAAAATGCGTGTACCCAGTATTTTCATATTTCCTCATGAATAGTTTGACCGTTTAAGATCGAGGAAGTCTCAGCAGATAGAGAGCAGTATGGGCTACGAATTTATCCTATTCGCGTGATTCATCTAGAGGATGAAAGAAACGCTATAGATCAAAAACCATCCAAAGCTCAACAAATTCTACACTCCTGGATCGCAGTATTTTGGACTTTTCTCGAGTGGTGCAAGAGATCCCAAAGTTATTTTTCTACCAGAAATAGATCTCGTTGAAACGCACCTTTTGACATTAAATTGTCAAGACAAAAAACCTGGGGGACCAAGTTAGTATAAACCATATTGTAGGCCATTCTACCTAGTGACCATCAATGTCACTCCTCAAAGTCATACAAATTATTTAGAAATCATGGAAACTGACCTCAGATTCGCATTCAGCTCGCAAAACGGAGCCGGATAGATTATTTTAAGTTGATCTCTTGCTTGTACTACGAGTGCTCAGCCTCATGGGTCCATCTTATGGATATATGGTAGATAGGGTATGGGTGTGGGTGTGGGATGGGTGTGAGCGGGTGTGGGATGTGGCTGTGAGTGGGAGTGGGGTGTGGCTGTGGGTGTGAGATTAGTATGTATGTTGTTCTGTTCTTCTTTTACACTCACATACACACCCACACCCCACACCCACACCCACACTCACACCCACACTCTCAACCGGCCGGATGAATTTTACAGCCAAACTGGCAAAAATCCGGCGAAAATAACCGACCATAAAAGTATTTGTTAACATAAAATGTTGGTGAAGGGGAATTGAATATTCACATGCAGAAATCCCAACTAGGGGTGAGCAATTTACGTTTACGAAAAATTTATAAATCCAAAAATAAATTTTAAGAAATTTAAATTAAAAATAAATTTTAAAAAGTTTTATTTATTTCGAGTTTAAATTGGATTTACATAAATTTAAATTTTGTAAAATTATTTGAATTTATTTCAATCCAGTTTAAATATAAATTCGATATAAAGCAAATAAAATTCAATTTAAGTTCATTTAATTGGATTTAAATCCAATTACATTAATTCATATAGGATTTAAATCCAGTTAAATGAATTTAAATTGAATTTTATTTGGTTTAGATTGAATTTATACTGATTTAAACTGGACTGAAATAAATTTAAATAATTTTAAAAAATTGAAATTTATGTAAATCCAATTTAAAATTATAATAAATTAACAGCAAATTGCCACCCTTAATCCGAACTGGAAACTAAAACTTGGGACTGAAACTCTCCCTTCATATTTTATAGCAAGGTGCGTCGACTTTTCGAGCCCGACATCGATATAAATTAGCTATTCAGATCAAATCTGTTTTTCATCTTAATTTCAAAAAAGAAAAAAAAAGCAAGTTTATAACACATCTAACATAAAAATGTAAATTTTTATTTTTCTTGATTCAGGCAGCTGCCTAAGTAGAACAAGAGAATAAATTATTTGATCAAGGTTAAATTGAGCGATACACGAGAAAGAAATCGATAGAGATATTAAGAGAACAATCAATCGTTTATAGTCAAGTCGAAGACAAGATAACTATTGAGTCTTTCGCAAACACATTCTTCTGACTTGAAAATATCATAAAAAAACCATTTTCAATAGAGAAAATTCTTGGATGCAAACAACAATTTTATAATGATGAACTGGCAAAAATCCGGTTCTGCCCGGCCCGGTTTAACTTCTTGTCCGGTCTTGTCCGGTCCGGTCCGGCCGGACCGGTTCCAACTCTGTCTCAAAAGGTTTCGTACAAAACTTTGGGTGACTAACATTGATTGTCATTGACTCAGGACACTTTTTCAAGTTTTTCGAAGTGGTCTGTACCGAACCTAAAATGATTCAGAGAATTGCAACGAATTCGAAACCTTTTTTTCGTTCAAAGTACCTTTTTTGGTTCGGTATCGTACCATTTTTTTCACTGTATTGGGTGTGGATGAAAGAAAAATAATACCACACTCACGACCACATCCACACCCCACACCCACACCCACACCCTACCTTATATAACAATTGATAGATTGATTCGTATCAATCGTAAGATTTATACTGATTATGAAGTAAAACGTATCACATAATAGCAATCATGACTACGTTATTTTAATTAAAACAAAACCAAAAAATATTATTTATCTAAACTAAAAAATTAGTTTTATTTTGTCGTCATTTCTATTTCCATTGGAATAGAATTTTCTGTTTGTTTATTCAACAAGTTTGTAATAACTGATTCAACACCTTTCTTTTGAAATTCATTTTGTAATTTTTCTAATTGATCATCAAATGTGCCTGACGAGCCAGTCGATAATAGACCCAACAGATTATCAAGTTTTGTCAAATCTGGACGATCTCTACTGAATTTGAACTGAATAAAAAAAAATGAAGACATAAAATATACTTAATAGTTTTTGTGACTTACTTGAATTACATCTGGTACATTCGCATTTTGAAATTCGATATACATTTGACCCTGATCATGCTGATTGGAAATGAAGGAAATAAATACTAATTTAGCTGGATAAATTTCTGCTCGATATTTCATAAATAAATCAAAAAATTGTATTGATGTACCATCAGCTAACTGTGCCTCTGTATTTTCTTCTTCATCTGTTACCATAATAAATGTTTTGATTATTTCCTTACCATCATAATATGGTACTAGACCAGCAGCATTTGCAGTACGACCAGTAGCTTTTGTTGTCAATGCTAATGTAAGAACATCTTCAATTGTTTTCGGCGTGAATGCAGGTAAAAACATGTCTGTATTGAAAAAATTCAACTTAGCTGAGCAAACTGCTGTTAATATGGATGAAAGAATAGTTGCTGTACGAATAGCAACTTCCATTGAACCTGATGCGTCACCAATGACAGCTACAGGTGATTCTAATGGTAATTTAATTTTATGAAGTTGAACTTCAGCTATAGATAATAGATCAGAATAGCATGTACTTTTGCTCGATTGTATTGAATATTCATTCTGAGAATTGCTAGTGATTTGTCCTCGTCCACGTCTTCTATGAAAGTTCAGCAAAGCTGCAGTTTGATTTGCATCGTCTTGTACTTTTCGAAGAAGTAAAAGACGTTCCATAAGTTTACCATATGGTAAAGTTATCTGTTCACCATTTCGTAATCTTTCACTGATAATACCATCAAGCTTTATACATTGTAAATCTTCATAATACCATATAATAGTATCTAATTTATCTTCATAAGATGCAATTCTTGCCTTTGATTCATCATTTAAATGATCTTTAAATTGTTTTAAATGAGAATAAGGAATTTTAAATTCTTTAATTAAATTATTAATATTTTCTTTGGTTAAGTCTCGACAACGCGATACCATTGATTCATCTGGTGCTGGTGTGCCAAAACAAAATGGCAAAAACCATGATAGAGAAGGAAAATCTTTGATTGGATTAAAATGAACAATATCAGCTAATTTTTTCCATGGTTCTGTTGGCATATGTAATGCAAAATATTCAAGTTCTTGTTGAGTTAATGTTCGAGTCCAACGTTGAATATGTCGAGCCACAGCACCACTGACTGATCCAGTTGATGGCTTAAGTTTGTTTAAATTATCGATATTATTCTTAATTTTACCCAATTTAGTTGCTTTTGTTCTTGTTTTACTTAATTCAAGACGTTTAAGTTGTTTTTCAAAGGCACGAATTCGTCTTCCAGCATCTAACATAGTAACCGCTTTAAGTACTTCAGTCAGTGTAAATAATCGTCGATGACGTAAAATATTATTAGCTAATTTATGGTCATGTCGACACCATGCAGCAGCTAATGCACATGCTTTAGCTTTTTGACCGATTTCAACATTGTTTTCATCGAGTGTGAATAAAGTAGCTAAATAACGAGGCAGATTTGTTGTTTGTGCTTGAATATGCTGATCGAGCGTGACACTGGCATTGATAAAGAATGGTTTCGGGTCGGCATTAATATCAAGTTCGGCTAAAAGATTGACTGATGGTGCCTGTTGATCAAAATCCATGGAGCTTGAACGTACTGTTTGCCTGCCTCCACGACTAAAAATTCGACCACGTCTTGAAACACGTCCACGACTTGCACCACGTCCACGACTTGCACCACGACCACGACTGGCACCACGGCCACGACCGGCACCACGGCCACGGCCGGCACCACGACCACGTCCACGAAACACTGAAACAAAAGTTTGTTTAAATAAATAAATAAATGAGGATGATCAGTCTCATCGGAAGATCCAATTCTATTTTTCATCGTCCAGCTTCTATAATACATCAGAAAAAAGCTTGTTAGTGCAGTCCCTTTGGAGCTGAAATGTGGAACTTACCTGTGTTCTATAGCCTCATTAAACTAATACAAAATACGTACAGTGAAAACCTCTGGTAGAATATAGTTGTCGTGTAGAATAACCGAACATTAGACTAAGAACCTTTCTAATTTCTGCATTTCGGATAGAAATAAAAAATATATTCTACTGATATACTGTAGAAGCAGAACGATAAAAAAAGGAATTAAATCTTCCAGTTAGATTGATCATCTCCACATATAAATATTCTTTATCTTACTTTTACTATATGTTAAGTATAAACTTGATACTATTGGCTCAATTGATTATAAATATATATACACAGAAACTGAGTGTCGAACTGCTGACCTGTTATTATCGCGTGTAAAATGGCTTTCTGTTTTGCATCAGCGAAGTTTATATACAGTAAAAACTATTACACAATGCATGTGTAATTTATTGCGCAACAAATTTGACACGAGACAGCGAGTATAATATCAACATCATACTGATGCAATCGACAGTTAAAGCTGCACTATAGAAGTTACACGTTAGACTTTCATCAAACTTATGAAAATACAGTGTCATATACTTCCTCTTGCTAGTATTTACCTTTATAACGCACACTCACACCTTTTCTATGTAAAATACTAGAGAGACATCTATTGTAGTCGTTAACTGTAGCCATCGAAATTTCTGAATACTATCAATATTTTATTCATTTTTTTCATTCCAGAAAATAACATTTATGTAGAATGTCTGTTAAAGAGAGTCAATAAAAATGTAAAAAATTTAATTATTTAATGTAATCATTTTTACGCGTTTTTTTGTATGCTCGGGCATTTATCTTGCAAAACAACTACCAGAAAATCCTGGTGGATTGAATATACGTATGGTTAATGTATTAGATAAAGAAGGAGATATTCATTGTGTTACAGAACGAGGTGACGTCCGTGTACAATTTTATGTCTTCGATGAAAATAATCAAGATTTATCATCATCAATAGCACAACAAACTTGTTGGATAGTTCATCCAAGTGCATTAACTAAAATTCATTCATGTACTTTTGGTGATCAAGTTATGATTTATAGAGATGAACAACGTTTAAGATAAGTACAAAAACGATATAGTGAATGGTCACATGATATGATTAATGCACTTGGAAAACAACGATTGTATACCATTAATAACATCTTCATCAAGTTTATTAAAAGTACCAACCCATCATTATGTCAACAGATGCTTATTTTTAATACACTTTTGGGACGTAATAATAATTAGCATCATCATCCGTTGTTAGAGATAATGCACAAGAAAAAATTCAAACTTTTAGTGATGTTTTAAATAAAAATCCTCAACTTGTAATAATAAAGTTCTGTTTGTTTCATTAATTTTAATAATTTTATTTGATTTTAAGTTGAAAACCGATCAGGTTATAAATCTGCAGTAATGTTAGCAGTACATTGAGTTCATATTGACATAGTTAGAATTTTTTTTCACATGACGCGAATTCAGAACAATGTACTACTGATGGTGATCCAATACTTCATTATGCTTGTTTGGGTAATCAACCAAATTGTGTTTCACTTTTATTATCAAAAGGAGCTGATAATAATTTAATTTATTCAACAGCTTGTTTATGTTTACAGATTGCTATTAATAAACAATTATTAGAATGCACGAAAAGATTATTAGAACATCAACAATCACTAATGAATGTTCATTTAAATGATACTTACAGAAATACTGCATTACGTGATATTGGTTTGATTTTGTTTAGTCCTTTTCTATAGCATAGAAATTTAAATCTTCCTTCCTCAAAAGAAGGTAACAACAAGAGCATTTTTCTCCTCAAAAAATTTTTGAAACAAACTATCTAGCGATAATAAAGGTGTGGGGTGTCGGTGTGAAAGGTTGGGTATGGGTGTGAGTGTAGGTGTTTGAGAGAAAAGATATCTCACACCAACACCCACACTCTCTACGCTTTGATTGTTTGTGAAAACCTGAACATTGAAAGTTGTCCATCGTTTCTTGCTTAATATCAGCTTCTCTATCTGTTGATATTTCTTTAAGATCTTAAGCGAAAATACAAAAAGATTAAAAAGAACTTGACCGAAATATTTGTAAAAGTTTAGCTTTTCAAGAATATTGGTTTCCACATCATACAATGACCACTAAATATTCAATCAAAATAAAGTGATTTGAGAGTCAAGGACTTTCCCTATGACACTTTCCAATTCTTAGATTTTACATCTCTACTCGTACTTTGAACATGAAATTTCATTGGGCAAAACCTTTGCTAAGGGTGTGAATGTAAGTCTAGACGAAGAGAATACCTGCACCTCTCTTTGTCATGATGGTGTTGTTTCTTTTATAAAAGTACAAAAAAGAAGAGTCTTATAGAGAAACACGTGATTTTAGTTGTACGTATGTCCCTTTGTAAGATCATTGGATGTTGAGATCAATTGATTACACTAAGTTTATGTATTGATTTTTTTCGTTTTGTTAAACATTGTCGATATATAACTAACTTTTAGTTGTAAAAAGATACTGTAAATTGATTAAAACAACTTTTATTTCTTTTATATAACTGAATATTCATAGAATCATTGATTTGTGCCAAAACAAGGTAAACATGAACAAAATCGTTGCCATATACTATAATAAAAGTTTTCTGAAAGCATTCCAGAAACAATTGAAAAGAAAGCTAGTTTGATTACCTGAATGAATCAGATGAATGCGTACGTACCGATAGAATTTGAGAACATAATTGCCAGAGAAAAAAGAATTTTAAAACTGATGAAATTAATTATCGCTTTTCTACTTCATGAGGATCTAATGCATTCCAAGTAAATTGTCGAGAACAATATCTGCATTCAATGAGAAGAGTTGGTCTATTCAAAAAAAACGGAAGAAAATGAAGCAATATAAATATATGAAAAAATAAGCAAGCAGTTCATATACTGAGAATTGATCGGAGGAGTTTTTGGTCGATATGATTCCTTCAACATAAAATACAAAACTACTGAAACAAATGTTTGCTTACATACCTCACGATTTCTTCTTTGAGATCGTGGATTACGACGTTGATGTGATGGTTCAGATTTCCTGAAGTGAATAGATTTGTGTTAGATTGGATTCATTATTCTGAAAAAAAAGAATAATTATTTCCATACTTTTCATTTGAAATGGCAGAAGTAGGGCCTACTTGACGAGTTCTCTTCAAAAGAAAATATAATGAAATGTAATTATGAGTTTTAACTATACTCTCTCATTTACAATTGGATTGCTTATAGGTTGTTTTTGATTATCTTTCTGATGAACCACATCAATATCTCTACGAAAAAAAGCATGCTATAATATGTATTATCAAGCAGATATCATAGTATCGATAATGAATATCAATCATGGTTTTACAAAACGTATACATAAAAGCTAAAACTTCATGAATATTGTTTGTTTGATAAATATGTAGGATTTTGTTATGAAATATTCATAGTAATGTAAATTTCAATTGTACTCAGAACAATATCCATTATTAATAATAGACCTAATCAATATTCATATTACTTACTCGAGATGAATTTCTAAAAATTTTGACTGAATCTTTTTCATAGTGTCTCGTATTTCCGGTGTTCTTAACAAGCAATGTTCAATTATGATCCATATTCTAGTGTGGCAATCATTTGGTTGTAATAATTGTTCATCACTCAATCTTCTTTGTCGAATATCATCATTACTTGTATCAGATCCATAAGGTACTTTACCATGCGAACAAGCTTCCCACATTAAAACACCCAATGAATAAACATCAGATGCTTCAGAGTAATTTGATTGATCTATACTCTTGAGGATTTCAGGAGCACAATATCGTACTGAAATATCTGTTGATTTGTTATCTTCATCTGCGCAATCTTTCGTACGTGTCATACTAAAATCAATTAGTTTAACTAGATTTTCTGATGAATTTGTATGATTCATTCGAAAAACGAGCACGTTTGAACAACATAAATTACCATGTACAATGCCCTGACTAGTTATGTATAAATCATAGCATCGAGAATTCGTAAGGAGATCGTAATGAGAACTTTATTTAATGGTTGAAAACGTTTTCTTTGTAATAGTATTTGAAGATTGCCATGAATAGCACGTTCTTGTAGTAACATAGGCAATTGATCATTATTTTCAACGAAACCATAAGTATGTATAATATGGCTATGAGAATTGAGCATTAAATACCATGAAGCTTCACGTTCTGATGTTTCTTTATTCATGATCATTAGAATAATTGGTGGTTCTCTATTTGGTATCCAATCTGCTTCATAAAATCTACCATGAAGACCATTAAGTGAATTCTTCTTTATGACATTAACATCCAATTGATATTCATAAGTCTCTAATGACCTAAAAATTTAATAAAATATTCGAATTTTTAAAAGATAAAGATATTGAAGACTTGGTTACATCAAAAACTAAAACAAACAGAAGCTAATTGTACAAAAAAAACTGTGACATAACACATGATTAACTCCTTAATTGTTTTCACTTACTCAAATGTAATTTTAGACAAAAGCTCCATTATGTTTTTAAACGTGTGTCGTATTTCTAGTGAACTATACCAACAACCTTCTATAATTTCCCATAATTGTTTATTACATGCATTTGGCATTGGTAATTTCTCACCATTTGACTTTCGTCGTCGAATATCATTTTCACTTGTATCAACTCCATAAGGTACTTCTCCTTGTGAACAAGCTTCCCACATTAAAACACTCATCGAATATACATCCGAAAATTCAGAATAGTCTGATTGCCCTTTACTTTTAACAATTTCTGGTGCATCATATCGAATTGAAATTGATGTTTGTCTATCATTTTTAAACGATGGATCATTTGTACAAGTTAAAGAAAAATTTGTTAGTTTAACTAGATTTCTTTTTGTCTCAAATGGACTCATCTCAAAGACAAGAACATTAGCACAACGTAAATCACCATGTATAATGTCTTGGTCAATAATATAAATCATAGCATCAATAATTTGTAAGAAAATTATTTTAAGTATCTTTGCAGATGGTTTAAATTGTTGAGTTTGTAACAATTTTAGAAGATTACCACGTGGAGCACGTTCTTGTATTAATATTGTCGATCGAGGATCATTTTTTACTAAACCATATGTATGAACAATATGTTTATGAGAACTAAGTTCAAGATAGAATGAAGCTTGATGTTCAGCTGTTCCTGTATTTATTACAATTAATATAATCGATGATTTATTCTTTCTTATCCATTCTGCATTATAATATATTTGGCCATATCTACCATATAGTCGGTTGCTCATTTTGACATCAATACCGAGTTCATATTGAAACTGTGATCTTTGAAATAAAAATAAAAATTTATATTATTGATAATAACAATAATTTATTGTCTTAGTTTAGTTGTATGCACTCAATGTACTTACTCAAGATCAAGATTCGAAAGTTGTGTTTTCATATCTTTAAAATCAATTCGTGATTGTGGTTCATTATTCCAACATCTTTTAATAATAGACCAAATTTGTCTATCACACATCCATGGCCTCGGTAATATTTCACCATTTAACTTTTTTTGTCGAATTTCTTTGCTCGATATGGCAGAACCGTAAGGAAATTTTCCTTGTGAACAAGCTTCCCACATTAATACTCCCATTGAATAAACCTCAGATAATTCGGAATAATTTAATCGACCTGTACTTCGAAGAATCTCAGGTGCACAATACTCTACTGAAATAATTAATCTTCTATCTTCCAATAATGATCGTTTATTTGGTCGTGCTTGAACAAAATTTGTTAGTTTAACAAAATTTTCTTTAGGTTTTGATGTATCCATTTGAAAGACAAGAACGTTCGAACAGCGTAAATCACCATGTATCATGCCTTGATCAGTGACATAAATCATTGCATCAATGATCTGTAAGAAAATAGCAATGAGCACCATTGGCGTTGGTTCGAATAAATTGTTTTTTAGTAATTCTTGAAGATGACCATGAGGTGCTCGTTCTTGCAGTAACATAATCGATCGTAAATTATTTTCAACAAATCCGAATGTATTGGTAATATGTAAATCATTGTTGAATTCTTTGTAGAACGATACTTCATATTCTGTTGATGCTTCATGCATTTTAATCAATACAATTGATTCCGTTCTTCCTGATAGCCATTGTGCTTCATAGATTTCTCGGAATCTACCACCTAGCAAATCATTTTTTGTTACATCAACATTAAGTTTGAATGTATAACCTATCAGTGGTCTAAAAATGAATAAGTGACAATTTCTGATTGACAACTCTCTCTTCATAAAAAATGTTTCTTGACCCAGAAATATTCAGATTACATGAAATTTGCAAGATATGTTCTGTTATGGACTAGAATCAAGATCTTCAAGAATTTTTGAATATGCCATCGAAAAAACGATAACAAAAGATTTCCTGTTTTTCGAGTTGCAACTAAAGGATATCGTTGAAAGTTTTTGCAAAAAAAAGGATGTATTAAATCGAAAATCGTATGATTTTTGAAAGATCTGAAGTCGAGCTATCTTTCCATCCATTTCTCTCTCATGAATGACAGACCGTTTGATTTTCTATTTCGTATTCTTGTCGATGAATCACTAATAACTCACTGTTTCGCCATTTTCAAAATATTTTAAGTGACTTTGAAAAAATGAAACACCAGGCAAAAAAATTTAGAATAGATACTGATTAATACGAGGGTGTGGGTGTGGGTGTGGGGTGTGGGTGTGGGTGTGGGTGTGGGTGTGGGTGTGAGTGTGGGTGTAGGTATTTATTTCGGTCACATCCACACCTACACACCAACCCACACCCACACTCATACCCACACCGACACCCACACCCACACCTACCCACACACCCACACCCACCAACACCCACACCTACACCCTCACCCACACCCACCCACACCCACACCCCACACTCATGCCCACACCCACACCCACACCACCCATACCCACACCCACACCCCCTGCTATGGTGTATATACGACTGTATAGAGCACGACGAAGCACGACAGTGATATAGTCCATGAAAATACGGGCTAGATATGGTTGATTTTAGGTGCTGTAAAAGTCGATCTAGATATTTATGAGGATCGCCATTACGAAAACTACATATATTATTGAGGATCACCATTGAGTAGATGAGCAAAGTCGATGGAAAGCAGGACTAGGAGAACCATCTATATTACCAAGGGCCTGTGTTGAGCAGATGATTGTTATCTATAAGGACTACCAACAGTTAAGGTATCGATATTTCTAGCGACGAGTTTTTCAAGGTCGTGGATAGTTGTGCGAAGGAATGTTAATTATATAATGGATGTTGTGGTTAATGATATGTGTAGTTTGGTGCGATAGGAAATTATATTTATGAATAAGTTTTTTTGTATATTTAGGTTGATCATAGCTGGTTATTCGAAAGTAAGTTTTATTTGTGTATTTGAAAGTTGTCTTTTCTTGTTACAGGTTGATTCGAAATTCGGATTTTACCTGCAAGTTTCTTTGGTAACTGTTTGGTTTTCTATTTGGAGCTGATTGATTTTCAGTCGGTACTTAAATGTAAGTTTACTTTAAATATATCGTCTTATTTCTATTGTGCATGCACACCATTTTCCAATTTTGGGAGTTAATTTATTTCATTCTGCAAATTGTTCTTTTTGTATTTCAGATTCAAGTAAGCTCTTGATTGTGATGCTACTTTATTGGCTTTAATTACTGATTATTCGTTTGCTGTGGATGGGTTCGCAATAATGGTGTGAAAGTAAGTTTATTGATTTTCATTGTTACTTTTCTTTTGAGGAGGATCTACTGAGATATTTGAGGTATAGAATAGTTGTCATTTTATATCTAATGAGGTTGCCCCTGGAAACGTCAATTCGCTTTTGAGTTGAGCCTCTCTGCATAAGGTGGTTATCAGTGAGATGAGAAAAATTCTCGAAGGATGCCTTCCATTAGCTCTTCTCTAGAAGATTATCCCTATGTTACTGGAATTTTAGTTGAATGCTAACGAAGAATCCTATTTAGATGTGAATTTGATTTTGAGTTCGAGCCATTAGTATCAGATAGATGTGAGACAAGTATGAAAAACCACCAAATGAACGAAGGCTCATAAGTCTTCTCTCGAAAGTTATAGCTATTTTCTTTGAATATTAACCTATAGTGTCGTAGATATCAGTAAGTGGAATGAGATTATTTCTATTTAAGAATTTCTCCACGGAGCAGTTTATTGATGAGGTGAATGTTACAAAAATTTTATCTGAAACCAATGCGCTTTTGTCAGAAATGCTGAAGTTCAACAATGCAACTTATATCTCACGAAAGATCATGAAATTTTGTATTGTTGGTGAACTTCAGCATCCTCGCAAAAAACGCATCGGTTTCAAATAAAATTTTTGTAACATTCACCTCGTCAATAAACTGCTCCGTGGAGAAATTCTTAAATAGAAATAATCTCATTCCACTTACTGATATCTACGACACTATAGGTTAATATTCAAAGAAAATAGCTATAACTTTCGAGAGAAGACTTATGAGCCTTCGTTCATTTGGTGGTTTTCATACTTGTCTCACATCTATCTGATACTAATGGCTCGAACTCAAAATCAAATTCACATCTAAATAGGATTCTTCATTAGCATTCAACTAAAATTCCAGTAACATAGCGATAGTCTTCTAGAAAAGAGCTAATGGAAAGCATCCTTCGGGACTTTTTCTCATCTCACCGATAACTACCTTATGCAAAGAGGCTCAACTCAAAAGCGAATTGTAGTTTCCAGGGGCAATCTCATTAGATGTAAATACCTTGGAAGATTCGTACGAAACCATTTGTGCGAAACTTTTTCGAAATCATTTTTGGAGAGGTTTCGCACGTAACCTTTTGTATGAAACCTTTTAGACTTTTCTGATAAAGGTTTCGTGCCGAACCCTATGTACGAAACCATTTTTCCTACTCAAGAAGAAGAAGTTTCATACGAAATCTTCTTTTTGCGAAACCAAGAAAAGGTTCGGAGCATGTACCCGCGCCCCGATCCTTTTTTGGTTTCGTAAAATACCTTTTTTTTTTTTACAGTGTATGTAAAAAGAAACTTTTATCAAGCTTCATATGTGGTACTAAAATGTCGTTGCCACTACTTTTGGATACCCCTATGTATTGACAAAACTGCAATATTTTCTAGTCAAAATGTAGCCCAGATCAGGAGCAATCAGAATATGTCTAATGCATACATATTGTAAAGACTTAAAGTGTTTATTTTGCAAATTTTGAAAGAATCTTATAAAAAATCATTTTCTACAAAAGTCCTAATTTTTATGATTTTCAGTAAAATCATAGAAATAGCTTGCTCGATATGTCCCTATTTATTAATGAAATTTAGAAAACTGGTCTTGGGGATTTTCATAGTTTACTATGGTCTACAAATCGGGGAAGTTTCATCGAATTTGGAATTACTTGATGTAAACGTGGTAGAGATACCATGGAATACCCCACTATTGATCAATAAATCAATACGCGTTTTGAGTTTTGTTTTCTTGTTGTTGTCGTCCTATTGAAATAAGAATAATAAAGTTGCTATTCTTTGACCTCGATAGTGTTGTACCACTTATATGAAGATCAACAGAGCACGCCTATAAAGATATTTCTTTTTGCCTAGTTGAGTCTTTTATTTGCATTAATGATGTAGATAAATGCGATCAATTATGCACGCCATTCACTATTTTATTTTTTATTAATAGAGATTAGAAAGACAAATAGCTGTTCGAATATATCAATAAAATAATAAAGATTACTTTGGTGTATTTTTCTTTTACTGGTTACAAAAAAGAGCTATTGTAAAAAGAAGGTATAAAAGAGATGATACAACTATCAATGAAAAGCACACAAAAATATTATTCTCTTCGAATGATGCAAACCATATATTTTCGTACTATCATTGAAGCATAAATACTATCCAATGCATAATCATTCAGAGTCAGATGCTATCGAGGAAAATGAAAATAGTATTAAACGGGAAGCAAATGAAATCTCAGACGCGAGGTATGAAGGGAAATAATTTATTCGATAGTTGTATGTGTTCTTAGGTGTTTAAAGAGTGATTCCTCCAGAAGAAGAGAAGTCTACTGAAACAAACTTTTGGCAACGATTTTGTACTAAACTGCAAAACAAAAGATCTTCAGAAGCCGTGAGCATTCGAAGTTTGGTAAATGAAAATGATCTTATTCTTTCACTGATTAGCACTTCTATTTATCTTTCAGTTTCGATATGCTACTTTCATCGACTTATTTTACATGATGTTAGCAACTATTGCTGCTTTAGCTCTTGGTCTCACTACTCCTTTATCGTTGGTTCTTTTTGGTGACACTATCGATTCATTTACTGATCATACAACTGAACGATGCTCCTTCAATTTCACTTCTCTCACTAATAAATACTGTCCACCAGACATCATATTGACGTCCACTAATTTTCATACATCAATGCGGTAAGAATATTCTCTTTAGCACTGGATGACATAAATGAATTAGAAAGTAATTCAAAAACAATGACTTCTAAAATAATTTAGTTTCTGTTATTGTTTATCGGCAGCACTGCCCAAGTTCCCATGAGTCTGGAACTCAACGGGAACTCATTGGGAATTGGGAACTCAAACGGTGTGGGTGGGTGTGGGCGTTTTTGAAAAAAATTTTTTTAATGCAGAAATATACAGGGTGGTAAATAATATTATTCCAGGGGGGTAACAGTATGATCTCGAATCGGAGATATCATGAATTTTATACCAAATGAAAGCCCGTGAAAAATGGGGTTTAGTGATAGTAAATAGTAAGACTTTGAAGAACTTTCGTGTACCAAATTTTTAAAAACAACGAAATTTTCTTTCAAAAACACGTTAAAAATCATTTTTCATACATTTTGAGACATTGAAAACGAACATTTTTTATGAAAACGAAAGAGAAATGATAACGATGATGATATATGACTATGACTCACACAATAAGATGGTTCTTTGGCGTTCTGTTCTTCTCTCCACGTGATACTAGTTATTTGAAAAATTTTTTCGTTCTCGGACTGTCTGAAAGTTATAGTCGAGTGAAATCTCAGTGTTTTTTCGTTTGTTATTTCAAATGGCTGGCGCTTATGATACCGAACAACAAAGAATGATTGATAGAATTAAATGCATTACTTTCCGAGAAGCTCGTGATGCTGGTGCAACATTTATAAATAGACAATGGATTGCCGACAAAATTCACCGTACGACTCGATTTGTTACAGAATGGTGGGAAAAATCGTGTGACCAATGTTTTGCTGATTATTCGAATGCTGGTCCTAAACTCAAGTTATCGAGAGCTGCTCAGGACATTATTCGTGAAGCAAGTGGTCACCAACGGAAAAGCGGTTCTGTCGTGGCGAAAGAGATTGCAAAGAAACAAAAAGAATATGTTACTCGACAAACAGTTAATAACTACCGTCGTAGGGAAGGATTAAAGCCTTTTCATGTTATTTCAAGACCGTTAAAATCTGAAACTCATATATCAGATCGATTATGGCTCTGTGATTGGTTGAAAGATTGGACTGAAGAAGATTTTCTTCATCTGGCACCATCAGATGAATTTTATGTTTGGACAGTTCGCAAACCAAATTATCAAAATGATAGGATTTGGGCAAAAAGTGTTGAAGATATTGAAGACGATGAAAGGTATCGCGAAATGGTTAAAAACCAAGCGTGTATCGGTATTTTTATCATTTTCACCGCGAAAAAAATGCATTGGGTGATTAAAGACAAAGGTGAATCTTGGACCGGTCAATATTTTCGTGACATTATTTTAATGCAACACGTATTTCCATTCCTCACCGACGAGGAAAACGTAATTGATCTGGATAATGTGATATTTGTTCACGATAAAGCACCGTGTATGCGAGCAAACATGACTCAACATCTGATTAGAGATAACAAAATCGAGTTTTGGGGCAATGATATTTGGCCTGGTAATTCGCCCGATCTCAATGCGGCGGAACATATTGGATCAATAATGAAAGATGAAGTTGAACAAAAAATGTTATCGGAAACTGGACATAATCGATATAGTGAAGACACACTTAAAAAGCACATTGCGGATGTTTTGACGGACATGGAAGAAAATACCGAATTGTTTGAAGCTCTTTTATGTTCGTATCCATCTCGACTTCGTGCAGTAAAGAGTGCTAATGGTCGTCATACTGATTATTGATTGTACTCAATAAATAATAAGAAAATAAACAGTTGTACAACATATAGTTTAGCCCCGAACTTTTTCGATGAACTGATTTTATAATATTTTATGTCGATAAAAATCGTAACGTTTGATAAATTAATACAAGAAAGTTCTTCAAAGTCTTACTATTTACTATCACTAAACCCCATTTTTCACGAGCTTTCATTTGGTATAAAATTCATGATATCTCCGATTCGAGATCATAGTGTTACCCCCCTGGAATAATATTATTTACCACCCTGTACTTTTTGAGAAAAAATAAATTTTTTCGAAAACAGCCGAAATCTTTTTGAAAAAAATTTTTTTTTCGAAAAAAGTTCGTTTCTACATAAAAAAAAAATTTTTTCAAGAATAGAACTTGAGGACCCTAGGGTCGGGGGCTGCGGACGGGAGACGGTTACCAAACCGTTACCAGTTACCTGGGAACGTAACGGTAACGTCCCACACCCATGCACACCGTTTGAGTTCCCATTGAGTTCCCGACTCCTGGAAACTTGGTCAGGTCTCTTTATCGGTACTTTCGGTAGGATCTACCAGGATCTACGCACAAAAAAATACACATACAGCAAACTGAAGTGCCACGGAAAGCAGAGACGGAGCCAATCTAAATTTTTGACGACTACACATCCTGCTCGAGATACTAGTAAGACCAACAAAAAGTTTGAATAAGCTTACATAATACAAGCAGAAAGTCAATAAGGTAGACCAGTCATGGTCGATCTGAAAACCGTATCGACACCGGACTGAACCAGCCGATAACCGGTATCGATTTTATATCTGACGCAAATACACACTCTCCAGGAAAACATAGTTACGCACACACATACAAAGCAGAGAAAGAGCGTGTCAATATCAAATATAACTCGAGTCTAATAGCCCTTCAGAGTCCCTAGGAACCTCTGACAAGCAGACTCTAGTAGATGGTGGTAGACTCCAGCAGTGTCCAAATATTACAAAATGGAAGTTCCAAGAAAACTAGAAATTATCATCACCAATATCTCAATTCCTCACAATATCAAGGAAACACTCGCGCCACATCTCGGTACCAGCACTGCCACCAAAAGTACATTACTCCCACGCAAAGCACAACGAAGGTTCCTACCATATTCGAGACACGTTTCCTGCACAATCCCTTAGTTCCCTCTCTGGATTTGGGTAGCCGAAAATCTTTGACACGAGGTACTAAGCTCCCATTAATACTTCATAAAACGACCAAAAAATAATTGTCGTCTTTGCAGCTGATGTGCAGCGTCGAACCAAACCAGAGCCTATTGAAACGATCAACGGATGCATTAAGACAATTCTGCTGACAGTCCCTCGATATCTCATCACTACCTTCAAGCGATCAAACATCCTTTCTTTAAAAAACTGAAGTATCATAATTATGTTGGTGTCAGTCACTCTCTCTGACGTCGAATGTGAGAAACAACTAAAAGCTAAAGAATTGAAACAATTTAGTGAATAGTTGTCAATTCATGATTTACTACGTTCGCTCAACGACAGAGAGTGATTGAAACAATCATGATGATAACGTCTCGGTTTCTTATGGAAGTGAGGCTTGGTTTCTTGCAGATAGTAATGAGGTATTCCGCAATGGTCAGCACAATTGTGTCTGTTCCTCAATTCCCTACCACTGAACACCAATCAGCGAACTGGTATCGCGACATATGAACGAAATCAGTTGCATCACCCGTCAAGAAAAGTTTCTCCTGAAGAATCATCATTGAACATAAACGAGAAATGTCAACGACATGAATAGAAATTATTGGAAAAATGTAACGAATTGATCGTGACTTTCTCTAAACAGCGAGAACATCTAGTAGAACGCGTCGCACGACCGAGATATCCTTAAAAAAATCGGATGAAGTTTGTCCTGTTAACATTGCCTCCATACCTCATCATTACCTTTTAGTGGCCTAGCGTTAATTCCTTCAAGATCTTAAGATATTCTCATCCTGCCTGTGCAAGTACTGCTCTCTCATCCTTTGACCGAAAGAAGCGATGAATTAAGGAACTGAGACAATTCTGCCGACAACCCTCAGTACCTCACCGCATGTTTCTAGTGACCTAGGATCAGTTCCTTGAGGCACTCGAGGTAGAAGGAAGTGACTGTACGTCACATGAAGGCGGTGATGAACTATTGATGGTTTGTCAAAAAATTGTCTCAGTTCCTCAGTTCTTAGCTGAGATTTTTCAAATTATATATGGTCGTTGCGAAGCATGTGCTCCTACGACAATTGATTGGTTTTTTTTTAGGAATCTAGGTTTTATCATAGGTATTGTTGCTACTTCTATCGCGAGGTTGTTATTGAAGAACCGATTCCTTCCGAGAAAATGTAAGAGAACTGGGGGTGTGGTTTTTGAGGGAGTGATATATGTTGTTTGGATTAGTTCATACAACCTGATAGGAACTATGGTGGAATTGTCACGTTCTCTAGTATTGATCCCTAGGTCCCTCAAGGAAAATGTTGCTTGAAAAATGATATTTCTCTGGAAAGTTGCGAATTGCTATTTTTAATTTTTTGGACAACGCTCTTGATCAAAAGAAATGATTATTTCATTTAGATTGTGCAATTTTATTGGATCAAATATTACTAGCATCAATTATGATCTGAAAAGTCGAACAAAAAATCAGATCATATATGCAATAATAATTGGTTGTATTAGTCTTTTTTGTAGTTATATTCGAGTAACATTTATGACAATATCAGCAGAAAGACAAACTCGAACTATCCGACAGAATTTATTTCAATCGATCCTTACAAAAGATATTGTTTACTTTGATACACATACGACTGGTGAACTTAATTTATGGCTAACAGATAATATTAATAAGATTCGTGATGGTATTGATGATAAACTTGGTTCAGCAGTAGAACTTATTTCTACTTGTACGAGTGCTCTTATCATTGGTGAGTGTTTCTTTTAGAGAGAACTTGTATGAATCTACTTTTGATGCAGGTTTTGTGAAAGGATGGAAACTAACATTAGTTGTATTATCATGTTCACCGATAATCATTGCTTCCTTCATCTTCGCATCCAAAGTAAGATTCTCTTGCGATATTGATTTTTATCATTACAAATACCTAAATCTGTTTTGGTTTGTATCTATGGAAAATTTTTTTCAAAAAACCGCTCAAAACCGCGGTTTTCTGAAACCGCGTTGCTCGTATTCAGGACCTCGGTTCTAAATACCACAGTATTCAACGGTCTAAAAAATTGCGATATAGTTATTGGAAACCGCGGTATTGCATAATCCGGTATTCAACGGTTTTTAAAATCGCGGTATAGTCCTTAGTAACCGCGGTGGCAAATACCGCGGAATTGAGCGGTTTCAAAAACCGCGGTATAGTCATTACTAACCGTGGTGGTAAATACCGCGGTATTGAGTAGTTTCAAAAACCGCGGTATAACCATCAGTAACTGCGGTGGCAAATACCGCGGTATTAAGTGGTTTCAAAAACCGCGGTATAGTCATTAGTAACCTCGGTGGCAAATACCGCGATATCGAGCGTTTTCAAAAACCGTGGTATAGCCATCAGTAACCGCGGTGGCAAATACCGCGGTATTGAGCGATTTCGAAAGCCGCGGTATAGAAATCAGTAATTGCGGTGATAAATAGCACGGTATTAAGCGGTTTCAAAAATCGCGGTATAGTCATTAGTAGCCGCGCTGACAAATACCTCGGTATTCAGCGGTCTTAGAAACCGCGGTATGCCGTCGAATAACCGCGTTATTGATAACCGCGGTTTTTAGCTGAAGAACCGCGCTATGTCTGGTGCTTATACCATCGTAATGGAATGTGTAAGGACGAAGAGGATGTCGTGCCCTGTTATTTTCATGAAATTTTTAAATAAGTTTTCTTATTCTATCTCTCACTACAATGTAACTTTGTGGTAATGGAACTTCTAAAAGTTCACTACAGTGCCCCTCGAAGGGCGGCTCACCTGAACGCTCTCGAAAGTTCAGGTGAGTCTGGTCATACCTGAGCTAGGTGTGGCTACGAAAACCGCGGTATATAGCGGTCCAACAAACCACGGTTTCCAGCGGTTCAGAAAATCGCGAAAGTCAGACCTTTTATGCGGTTTTTCAAAACCGTCAAAAACTACGGTATCGGTACACCGCGATCATTACCGTTGAAATAAACCGCGAAAGTCAGACCTTTTATGCGGTTTGGAATACCGGAAAAACCCGCGGTGTGAAATTACCGCGGTTCTTGACGGTTTTGAAAAACCGCATAAAAGGTCTGACTTTCGCGGTTTCGAGCGGTTTTTTACAAAAAAATTTTCCATGGGTAGATTACAACTAAATTGACTACGAATGAAATAAACGCTTATGGAAAATCCGGAGCAGTAGCTGAAGAAGTGATTAGTTCAATTCGCACTGTTCTGTCATACAATGGACAAGAACGAGAAATACAACGGTTGGTATGGCATCGTTAATATTTTGATTTAAAAATCTATCTCTAATTTATAGGTATGAAAGATATTTAGATGATGCTAAAAAGAGTGGTATCAAAAGACTTACAGTCAATGGCATCAACGTAGCCATATGTTATTTGCTCATTTATTGGGTATATGCTTTAGGTATTCCTTCTGACGCCGTTTATTCTCGTATCTTTGTATCTATATTTTCTACGCAAGGGTTTTGGTATGGAGCACATTTGATTTGGAAAGAAAACTACACTATTGGCAACGTCTATACGGTATGCATAGATGAATATATGAAATTTATTGATAAAACTCGTGATTCTCAATTTTGTTGCATACAAAACAGTTCGTCATAAATCTTTAAAACACTAATGAATATTGCTAGTATGATTTCAAAAATATTTCTATTTTTGAATGTTGAAGTCTACAGTTATTTAATTATATTGTTTGACAGATATTGATTTTTTCTTGACAAGTGAGCATTAAATTTCTGGTATGAAAAAGATAAGAATCACCTAAATTTATTTTGATGTTTCCGCTGTTTCAAATTGGTAACTAATGAAAGTAATCGAATAAGAAAAAATGCTCTCTGAAAATGATCAATGGGATTAATACTTGAAATATTACCTTCTTGTTATTTCATTTCATCAAATTATCTTGAGATTTGGGCAGAAAAAGTTCAGCCTCACGGTTAGTTCTACGAATGAATCATCACTCAGAAAGATTTCGTTCTAAGCATCATCTTCTCATTTGTTTTTGAATGATCACTTTTCTCAATATTTTGCGGTTTATTTGTTTCATCTGAAATTACATTTTAAGAGAAAAAATATTATATTAGCAAATGCAAGCATATTTACGTGTTAGTGACAATATTTTACTCGTCTTAAACGTGAAAAAGTGCTCTTTTTTTTAACATGGCTCATCATATGAGTTTTGAACTCATTGATATCGAACATATCTTGTAGGTTTTTATGACTGTTGTCATTGGTATTTTCCGTGTACAACGAGCCACTTCATTTGTTCAAGCATTAAGTCGAGCTCGAGCTGCTGCTTACATTGTATGGAAAATCATTGATGAAGTAAATTTACTTTCTTCTTGCATTATATACAGACATATATCATCTTGTCTTGTGTTTCTGGATTATTTAATAGCCATCGAAAATAAACAACCATTTAGAAAGAGGTCTCAAAAAAGATGATTTCATTGGTGATATTCATTTTTCAAATATTCATTTTTCTTATCCATCACGACCTGATATTCCTATTCTCAATGGACTATCATTCAATGTTAAGCGTGGTCAAACTGTTGCACTTGTTGGGTTATCTGGTTCAGGAAAATCAACATGTATACAATTATTACAACGATTCTATGATCCTTCTTCTGGTTCAATTTTAATTGATGGAAAACAAATCAATGAATACAATCTCAAATGGTTAAGACAACATATTGGTGTTGTTAGTCAAGAACCAGTTTTATTTCATACAACTATACGTCAAAATATCTTATTGGGTCATGATTCAGCTACTGATGAAGAAATACATCAAGCAGCTAAAATGGCTAATGCACATGCTTTTATCATGGCTTTACCTGATGTAAGTCAAAGATTAATTATATTCCTTTTACTTTTTGTCGTTTTGTATGATATTCTACATAGAAATATGAGACTAAAATCGGGGAACGTGGTGCTACATTATCAGGTGGACAAAAACAAAGAATTGGTAAATGAGACTATTTGTTTGCATTTGATGTCATGTTTGTTTTTCTCTTTGAATTTTGCAGCCATTGCTCGAGCGCTTATTCGAGATCCCAAAATTTTACTTCTTGATGAAGGTTAAATTTTGTTTTTTTTCTATTCAATTATGCAATTCATATTCTTGTGTTCTATAGCTACTAGTGCCCTTGACAATGAAAGTGAAAACATTGTACAAGAAGCTTTAGATCGTGCTGCTCAAAGTATGACACTCATGCTAAATAAAACTATTGCTAAATCACTACGTTTTGTTTGTTGAACAGGTCGAACAACATTAGTGATTGCACATCGTCTGTCAACAATTCGTTATGCTGATAAAATCATTGTCATGCAAAAAGGAGAAATAGTTGAAGAAGGTGATCATGAGACATTAATGCAAATTGAAGGTGTATACTACGGACTTGTTCAACAGCAAAGCTTACGACAAGCTGAAGAAGAAGAAGAATTTGAACAAGAAAAAGCAGCAGAAATGTTACTTTGCAATCAAGCTAGTTCAAATTATTTCGATATTCGAGCAAATCATGGCTCAACAATAGTTAGTATTAGCCCATCAATATTGTCTTTATTATATAGAAGTAGAAACTGTACAGTAAGTGAAGAAGACAATGAAGTAAGTAAAAAGACAAAGGTAATATAAAAAAGACAGCAAAGCAGTTGAATATATGAAATGAAGAATGATAATAATAGGAAAAAAAGGTGAATATCATATTGGCTATATTACGAATGAACAAATCGGAATGGATACTGATGTCGATCGGATGTGTCACAGCTTTGCTCAATGGAGCACAAGAGCCTATGTTTGCTATTATTCAAACGAAAATGACGACGGTAAATAATTAGTTACAATTGAGAAATAATATTTACTTCGTGAGAGTTGGCTTTTATTTGAAAGGTTTTTCAAGAGTGTGATAAAGATATTCAAAACCAACAAATTCTTCTGTATGCTCTTCTGTTTGTTGGCTTTGGAATTCTTATGTTTGGAGTTCAATCAGTTCAAGTATAGGATATGATGAGTTATATTATGACATTTTGTTACAATTTCATTTCAGAGTTATCTATTTGCTTGTTCTGGTGAAATTCTCACTAAACGTCTTCGTTCCAAAGCTTTTCGAGCTATTCTTCGTCAAGAACCCGCTTATTTCGATCAAGCAAAACATAGTACAGGTGCATTATGCACACGTTTGGCAACCGAAGCATCAGCTGTACAAGGTGCAAGTGGTGTTCATTTTGGTATTATTTTTCAAAGTCTTATCTCAATGATCTCTGGTATTATTTTGGGATTTGCTTTTTCCTGGCAATTGACACTGTTGGTCATGGTATTTCTTCCATTTCTATTACTTGGAAGTATTTTACGAATTCGTTTAATAGCAAGATTTGAAAGGAAGGATACCAAGATTTTAGAAAATGCTGGAAAGGTTTGAAAAATTAATTACTCAATTTTTGTGCAAATACGTAGATTTTATGATAAGTACATGAAATCGTAGACACGATTGAGGGTTGAACAACGTTTCGATCGGTGTCAAAAATGTTAATTTTAAGCGAAATTTTGACGTTCAGGTCAAAAATGCTTCTCTTAATGGCGTCACATGCGAGGATTAAATTATAAAAGAGTTCGATTGACAGATAAAAACTATTCAACCAGCAAAATTAGAACTCATATGAATAATGAGAATAGCTGTAGCATAAATGACATGGAATAATGAAAAATGATTTTACCTATACGAAAACTTCTAAGATAACTATTTGTTCATACACGTACTTATTCAGCGGAACAATGAAAATTCATTGGAATAATGAAGACTTTTATAGGAAAAACGAAATCAAAAAAATGAAAAAACGATTTATTCTATGGGAAAAATTGTTGGATACTTCAACAGTTATATAGATACTTATTCAGCGAAGAAATGAAAATTCATAGGAGGAATGGTTATTACTATCAGACACACAACATAACATATAAGAGAATATATCTCACCATAGAGCAACAACTATTGGGAAAACTGCTGAGCTCTATAGGAAAAATGATCAAGTAATCTGTTTTAGTTGTTATTGTAAATGGCATAGCATTTTGAGATATTATGAATTCTCGTCAATAATTTTTGTCTAGGACGATCGTATTCTCCACCTGATGACCAAGTGATGCTCCTCTGAACTTCTATTCATTTTTCAATGTTTCTTTACCAGCTTCGACTAAATTTAATACTTTTTGACTTTTCTCTAACAATATTGTGCTGCGTGGCACCAGAGTATGCAATTATTTGAGAAATTAGTTTTTCAACGAGCAATAGCAATGACTATGGAGGCTACTTAGTCATAAATCGGGAATTCTAAAGATATTTTGAATAGTGTTCAGCACTTCATGGACCGAAATTTTGATCTATCTTGAAAATACTTGATTTTGAATTGTTGACTAAACTGTAATGTAATTCGAATTAAATAGATATGGAAAGTTTTAAATAGCAACAGATAGCTTCAAATTGTAATACAAGTCTAAAAATCTATGCATTTTAAATAGCTACATGTTAATTAACAGTAACGTTCAAGGTTCAAAGAGATATCCGCTTTACCCTATGCCCTTTAATAACAGGTGAGGCCTTGCATACAGAATGAAATTTGTGATATATAAGTAGTTAAAGGAAAGGACAAAAATAGCATAGCAACGGACTTTTCTTTCTTCAATGAATTTTTCCTTCTGATAGCATTGTATTTATATAAATACAAAATACATTTTGATAGATTTATATCGTAAAGATTAAACTATCATATATTCAACTATCATGAGGATCTTTGGCTCGTTCAATGGGCTTGTATGTTTATAAAAGAATTTTGGTTTCCGTGTCTTAGTTTGGTTGATATCGATATAATGGTGACTCACATAGATTTGATTCAAAGGGGAGAAATTGTTATATATATGAAGACTATTAGTATACTAGCGGAAAAATGAAAATCAATAGAAATAATGCTCAACGCTCTAAGAAAAATGATTTGAAGAAACGCTTTTTTTCTGTATCTTAAGAGATAAATGCTTTTATTGTCCATTATTCGAAATGAAAATAGCATCCTTATAGTATCTAGTAGATTGTCAACGGAATGATGAAAATTAGATGATCTATGATAGGACGTAAATTTTTGTGTGCATGGAAAGGGTTGTTTTCGCACGTATTATCCTTTTCTGAATGGTAATCATAGAAGAATGAGATACGGATGAAATGTGGACATATACGCATATATGTATACGGCGGTCGTCCTATATGAACAGAATGCAAGGAAAATTCATTTTTGACCTGGATGGCATTTTTCTGCTTAAAATGAGAATTTATTCCACTAATCGACTTGTTGACCACTGCTGCCTGTCACAGTGAAAAAATCACCAATATGCATTCAAATTTATTAAAAGAAATGTCTAATCTTAAAAAACTCGCGCATTAATCTATGACCAAGAAAATCGGTAACATTGCTAAATGAGCGACAGTGTCGAAACACGAATGTGCAAAACAGTGAAGAAAAAAATGCGTGAAAAGTAAAACAGTGAATAAGTATGATAGTGAAAACAAAATACGGAATATTTCGAGAGTGACGAGTACAACGTAAAATACGAGTAACTAACGAGAGAACTACTTCAACTTTTCGGCATGGCCACGCGTTACTGAATTTCATTTTTTTCCCATTGTAACACTTATATCTCATCAACAATAAAAGCAAATCCCCTGAAATTTTTATCAAATATAGAGACTATTTAGATCTATTACCAATAAAAATTTTATCGGTTTATATGCAGGCAAGCCTGAGCTATTAAAAAAATTCTGACCGTTACGGAATTTCAAAAAATGGAAACTTTTTTTAGGGCGAGTGGAGAGTTAAGCATTTTACTGCGCCATGAAGTGACACACAACTAAACATTCTGTATACAAATTGTTCAGTTTTCCACAAGCTTTCAAACTATCAGTTCATTTCTGAACAATGTATAATTACATCAAACAAAAACCTGTAAACACTGTCCGTTACAGAATTTCAATCGTTACGAAATTTCGTCTTTTTTTCGATTTTCCAATGGGAAAAGTTTGACACCTTGAAATTTCCAATTGTCACGCTAAAAACTCATCTTTTCCCAGATCCAATAGCAGTACACAGATAGTTCTACTGTCCGAGTATGTCGATTTCACTCTCATAACGGAGTGACATTAAAAATTCTGTCTATTTTTCAGGCAAAAAATGAAATGTAACAGAATTCAATACTGAATCTTTTTGGTCAGATTAGTCAAAAAATTTCTTTTTAGATGGTTGTCGGATAAAAATAAGGTTTATATCGCCAGTCAACAAAGTATCTCGGAGCTTGCAACATGTTTCATAAACCGTCGGTGGTGCACTTTTAATTTTAGAGAGAGTTTTTCTTATTTTTGTGAGTTTAAACCTTCTTCATGCGAGGTTGACCGATGCGTGGCCATCCCGTTTTCAATCACGTTTTTCGTCCAACATATGTTATTGTATGGAATTCATTGGGCTGATTCTATATACCAGGCTCTTATCGACTCTAGTTTTTCTTTGATGCCATGTTCTAGTTTTCGATCTCTTTCTGGCAAGGGTAACTTTTTCTAACAGTGCCATTCAAATGGCATATCTCATTTACCCGTATTTCAAGAGAATGAAGCATGCACCAGATGGTTTATTGACTAATTGCTTGTTAACACTACAGTTTTTATCTAATCTTTGAATCGACAATGTACGAATTTTTATCTTATATATAACACATAAGTAATGCCGGATTTTAAAAAAAACACTAACAACCCTTTTTTGAATAACTTTTGATCAGTTTGAGCTATTGAGCTGGGGTTTTCACCGTTCGATAGAGTAAGGCGGAGAACATCTATCTATATAAGATTCATTGAGGTCGGAACTAGGGACTTTTTCGATATCGCATTCTTAAGATCTTTATGGTCATTTCGAAGCAAATTATCCTAGATTGTAGCCCATACATTGTTCTATATAGGGTATAATTTTCAGAATTTTCTATTGCATCCTTGAAGAATGAGACGTTCTACACTGAACTACTCAGAAACATCTCTATACACGGAATAAATGTGAATCACTCATAGATATTCAACTTTCTACTAATGTGAAATGGACTAGCGACGTTTTTCCTCTTTGAAAAACTTGTTGAAAGATAGTCACGCATGTGCTCGTCATGGCCTCGACGTTCGACAATAGTCAACCAAGAAGTGCATTCGCTTTCTTCTTGTAGTATCAGACTAAAAGAAGCTGATGAAATACACAAGAATAGAAAACATAATTAAAGAATGAGGATTATAGTCAAGTATCATCCATGTTTTCAGCATTGTGGTTATCATGCTCATCTTGATCTTGTTTCTGATATTCATCTTGATCGTCGTCTTGATCTTCATCTTAATGTTCACCTTCACCTTCATCTTCGTTGAGACCTTGATCCTGATCAGTGCATAGACAATAAAGAACAAAAACATCCCGGATGATGCTACGAATAAGACTAATAGCAAATCATATTTTACTACTACTGTGTATTCTGATTAATACATTGCATTTTCTTTTAGTCTGATACTACAAGAAGAAAGCGAATGCACTTCTTGGTTGACTATTGTCGAACGTCGAGGCCATGACGAGCACATGCGTGACTATCTTTCAACAAGTTTTTCAAAGAGGAAAAACGTCGCTAGTCCATTTCACATTAGTAGAAAGTTGAATATCTATGAGTGATTCACATTTATTCCGTGTATAGAGATGTTTCTGAGTAGTTCAGTGTAGAACGTCTCATTCTTCAAGGATGCAATAGAAAATTCTGAAAATTATACCCTATATAGAACAATGTATGGGCTACAATCTAGGATAATTTGCTTCGAAATGACCATAAAGATCTTAAGAATGCGATATCGAAAAAGTCCCTAGTTCCGACCTCAATGAATCTTATATAGATAGATGTTCTCCGCCTTACTCTATCGAACGGTGAAAAACCCAGCTCAATAGCTCAAACTGATCAAAAGTTATTCAAAAAAGGGTTGTTAGTACTTTTAAAAAAATCCGACATTAGTTACTGAATTATTAATCGCATTAATGTACATGTAGTAATGCAGCTCACAGTGGTTAATATATAACGGAGAATCATAAAGTCTACGTCAGACAGCTGTTCGTGGTCAATGCAGGCAATATGTCACTGCTTACGCTTCAATGTTTGACATACATTCGAGGTTGCAGTACCTACTAAAATATTTTCGTGAATATCTCCTAATATGATACATATAAATACTGTAGATTATAAATTGATTTTATCAAAACAGACAGTTGCTAGGACGATGTTAGTAGGTAGCACACGAGATCTATAAGGATCTTAAAGTTTTTAGACACGTGATATTCGGAATTAGTCCTATGAATTGTATACGTCATGTACGTTTTGAGTACATCGGATCAGGCAGTTAGAGTAGTTCGTTCGTAGAATATGAAACTTTGAGTTCTTTTTTTCAAATGAATTAATTAAGAACTTGCCAGTTTCAGAGAGATGAACTACGGTTTTTCAGATTCGTCACGCAGAGACAGTAAATAGATGCTCGAATTCCTCAAACTCAAAGCACTCTCTTTCTTTTGGCAGTAAAAACTTCTTTCTTTTTTTCCTCTTCATCTTCTATAATACAGGTGACTGTAGAAGTCATTCAGAACATTCGAACAGTGATGCAATTAGCAAAAGAAGATCATTTTTACAATGAATATTGTCAATTAATCAATGTTGTTTATCGGTATTATTGCTTTTTTCTGCATTAATCGAAGAGTATATCTGATAACATGTCTTACAGATCATCACTTAAACGAGCTCATGTCTCAAGTATAATATATGCATTGTCAAATTCAGTTACTTTCTTTAATATAGCGGCTTTCATTGCACTTGGTGCTTTTCTTGTCGATCAAAATAAAATTACATTTGAGGATATGTACATGTAAGAAAAAAAAACATTATCTATTTTTGATTTGTATTCAAACAAACAATGTTTGATTAATAACTTTCTAGGGTATTTAATTCTGTCGCTATGTTAGCTCAATATGCAAGTGACAACTTGACACTGTGAGTTTTTCAACAAATGGCATAAGTGAGAGAAATATTGGTTTTCAGATCTCCAGACTATGGAAAAGGAATTCAAGCTGCTGAAAGAATTTTTGAATTATTGAATCGCAAACCAATAATCAATAATGAATCAAATGATGGTGATCGAATCGTACGAAAACATTATGAATCTTTCCAATACATACATTCATCTTTTAGTCCAACTTCAATGGACAACTCGAATTTGATGGTATTTATTTTACTTATCCAAATAGACCTGGATCAATTGTTCTTCGAAATTTCAAACTCAATATTAAATCTGGTATCTATTCGTTTCTACATTCTTCTCTTTACTGATATCCACTTTTATTATCTTTCTACACAGGTCAAAAAATAGCTTTCGTTGGCATGGATAATCTTCCTATTGTTCATCTAGAGTAAATTATTTGAATAGATTATCTTTTTTTACAGGTATATCTGGCTGTGGCAAATCAACGACTATGCAGTTAATCGAACGCTTCTATGATCCAAATGTTGGTCGTTTGGTAAATGATTTTTTCATTTCCTTGTCTTGTTGACACATCAATATTGTCGCTATATTCATAGTTGGTTGATTCAAAAGATGTTCGAAGTCTCAATCTTCAATGGTATCGATCGCAAAGTACGTGTATAAACATCATTCTTATAGAATAAAATCAAGTCTTGTATTTCTTTCTAAGTTGGTATTGTTTCACAAGAACCGGTTCTCTTTGATATGTCAATTCGAGAAAATATTGCTTACGGTGATAATAGTCGAACAAATATTCCATTAGATGAAATTATTGAAGCAGCTATCAATGCTAATATTCATGATTTTATTCAACTTCTTCCATATGTAAGTAATTAATTATTCTTCCTTTACTGAACAAATATGTTTTTCTATTGTTAAAAATGAAGGGATATGAAACAAATTGTGGCCCAAAAGGAACTCAATTATCAGGTGGACAAAAACAACGAATTGGTGAAATCATATTGAGAAATTTTAAAGAATGAACGTAATATGTATTATTTATAGCTATTGCTCGAGCATTACTTCGAAATCCAAAGATTTTATTACTCGATGAAGGTAGAAAGACAATAGTTAAATCTGTGTGATTCATTGTATTGGATATTGGTGTTTAGCAACAAGTGCATTGGATACTGAAAGTGAAAAGATAGTTCAACAAGCATTAGATCGTGCTCAACAAAATCGAACTTCAATCACAATTGCACATCGTTTATCAACTATTCAGAATGCAGATCTTATATGTGTTTTACATAATGGAGCGATTGTTGAAAGTGGAAATCATGAAGAGTTACTTGCTCGTAATGGTCGTTATTTTCGTTTAGTACAAAGAAGATTGAAATAGATTAATGGAGAGTCGTATAGATAGACGGAGGTTTTTGTTAAAATACGGAAAAGCGAATAAATTAAGAAATATTAAGTGTCAATAAATATTTTTTTACAGCTGTTTCCTTTTCTGAAACAAAGGGAGTTACGGGGTGTGGGTGTGGGTTGTGGATGTGGGTATGGATGTGGGTGTGGGTACGGGTG